TTAAGTTACTTAACTAAAGGATGGTTTGAAAAACCATAGCTTTCTGGATAGAAAGCATCCGGCTAACGTTGCTGTTCAGTACCTTAATTTTTTGGTATGTCTGCATATTGCATCCAGAGCTACAGATATTCCACAGTGCTTTTCTGCCTCATTCAAGTATAATAAAAGTAGAAATCTATAGAAGCTCTACGGTTAAACAAACTGTACAATATACAAAAATTAACTTAATTTATAGACAGTCAAGAAGTATTGGCAATGCCCTTTATAAATCTTACCAAAGATTCATCACAAAGGATATTACAATCTACATATGTGGTCATCACCATACAAATGCCATTTGGATTTATGTGGCAGAACTGAATATTTGTTACATGTACATATGTAAAATCAGCATTTTGCACTATATACATTTCTTGTAAAGTAATAGTACTGTCAATACTAACCTAAAGTTCAGGATTTCCTTGTTGCATATTTATTGTTGCTGAGGCAGTTAGTTATGATACAATAATGCAATATCCATAATTATTTTAAATAAACAAAAACACTTCTCCTACCAACAATATAAAGGATTTTTTTCTAAAATCACATTGAACAGTGCTACATACAATTTTACACAAATACTGAAAAACATGACCTTAAGGCATCTGCTAGAAAAGCAGATGTGCATATTTATATGAACTAAATTATGCAGGAAAAATATTGCACAAAATCCTATTATTTTCAAAATAAAATACGCATCTTTCTAAATACACATAATTCCCTATCATGAACAAATAAAAATGTTAACAGGTTTGCTCAAAAACAATTCTGCCTCTTAAGTAAGCTTTAAGGAGCAGACATGAACCAAGTACTGGGCTCGACAACAGAAAAGATGTGAGTACTGACACAGAATCTGTAAAAGCAATTTCCTTATATTAAGAAGTGCTTTGAGGGGTGAGATTTGGGTATTCATTTTACTTTCTGAAATTTATATTCTGATTTACAAGCATCTACCCAGAATCAGGGTCTGTTATGCTAAGCAAAATGGAATTTGCATTAGAAAATTTATTCATGAAAATAATCTTTTCCTGAAAATCCAGATTTCCTACATGAGAAGGAAGATCTACTGCTGATTATGAGAACGTTCACAGTTTTCTCCTCTTGATCAAGAGTCTACTTCTTCACGTCATTTAAGAAACAAGTAATTCATGAACATTTCTGAATTCTAACTATTAGGATATTAGCACAGAATCCTAACAACAGCACTCATACAGTTTTAAGTTAAGAGGCAGGGACAGTGGAGGCGGTTTCTAGAGAATGCTATTATCAAGATAAAGACAGTAAAAACTAGTTTCCATCAACATGCACCCACACCCTCAGTTAGGCCTAAAGTAAATAAAGTGGCCCTAAGTATTGCAAAGAAGCATCACTGCATTCTAGAGCCTGGTCAAAGGATTGAGCATAGTGATGACAATCAGATAAACAAGGACACTTAGTTTCTAAGAGCCTCTAAGTCTGTCCTTTAGAAGTAGATATCTTAAAATAGCAGCATTATTTTACTTAATTATAATAATAAAGAAAGTTAATGAAATTGGAAATGGTACTGTGGTTCTGTACTTGGAGCAGTTTTTGATTAAGCAGCCTTAAAAGACTCTCTTTGATGTTAGAATCTTGGGCTAATAACTTCTAAGCAAAATATATATCATCATCATCATCATCATTAACAGATTTGTAATTTCTTATCCTTCTTAATTTAAATTTAAGTTTTTTAATTGGTTCCTTCAGAGCAGAGACTATGTTAATTATTTTATTTCCTAATACCCTCAGATACTGTACCTTGACTGACTGGTACAGTCAGACTGACTTGACTGATACTTGATTGACTGGTAAAAAGTCAATGAATACTTCCTAAGTGGATGAGTTATTAATTTTTAATCAGAAAAATAATCCTGCTTATATTTTGGTGCCTTTGTAAAATATGCTAAAGTAGGTAAGCATCAAAATCTACCACGTAACAACACATTGACTTAACAAAACAACAGCTCCTAAATTCACACACTACTCTTCCATCGCCTTCTGAAATACTACAGATGCAATATTTAAGGGCAAAGAGGATAAAAGCCAGAGTGGGATTCAGGGAGAATCATGATGAAAGACTATGTAGCAAAGCCAAAAGTCCTATTCATTTATACAACTCTGCTGTGGAATAGGTGTAGCTTCTTGGAGAAAAAAAATTCAAACAGCAGAGGAGTTTACAAATATTTCATTTAGTTATAATAGAAAATTTGAGCATAGCAGAAAAGAAGATAATGCTTTGTTCATTTCAGAATTCACCTTCACTTCACTCTCCCTATATCCACCACAATACTGGTAAGTCTAGTTTAAGAGCAGACTTTGAATACTCAAAATATTAGTGATCTGAAATACTCCTACTTTTGGATTAGTAGTCTCTTGGATACTAGTCTTTTGGATTTTTTCCAAGAACAACATGTACAGCTTTTGTTTTTTAACACAGAATATAAAAGCTGATTTTGCATGTTAAAATAAGGCACAAATCCAGTTTAAAATACCTTCACGCAAACTTGCTTGTGAGTGGCTAACTACCCTCACAACACAGTCCTGTAGTCAAACATCTCATGAGGGGACTGGACGACCGAAGAACTTACATTTCTGAAGCCATGATGTCTATTAAGCAAATGGACTAAAACCCCAACTCTACCTATGCTACACTCATAATTTCCCCATTCTTCAGACTGAATTCTGAAGGAAAACATGCCTCACTCGAATAGTCATGTTAAAAAAGGCTTTTTCTTTTCAAAAATTATGAAGAAATATTTGCCAAGCAGATTAAACACCAGATTGACCTTTTTTCCTTCTCATTTAAAACAGCTCTGCTGATAAATCAACTTCTTTTACTACATGCTTCAACAAAGTACAATGGAATTTTGTAATGAGTATATAAAGGCAAAATTTGACAAGAACCTTGAGTCTTAAGTTTTGTGTTAATAAGGATTAAATACTTTTCCCTTAATGTATACAGGGTCCATCTTTATAAGGAAAATAAGACTTGTCTTCCTTTATAAACATAAATAAGTAATTGTCCCCAGTTAAACATATCCACTCAAGATTTTGGAATGTAGTTTAAAAAAAATCTTGGCCATTGTCTTTAAATTATTTAAAGACTGACCTGAACAAATAGTTTTAGGCAATGTTTTTAACAAACCCCCTTCCAGGATTCTTTTTTTTTTTAACTGGAAACTAAATTCTTTCAGTAAATATTTTAGGGTACAGTGCTGATGAGGTTCTTGAATGGTTTCTCAAACACCTTTACTAAAATGACAATTTTTAAAAACTAATCGTGATTGGGGATGTACATAGTATATGTTGAATACACAAATACCAAATTAACCATAACTCCGCAGGATTTTTTTTAACCTGATTTTGTCCTACAAACTAGCTTATCATGAAGCAGTCAATGCATGATTCCTTGTGAGGTGAATTTCAACATTTAACAGTGAATTTGAGAGAGAAGAGATGAATCCCCAATGTAGAAGAATTTCAAATAGTTTATGTAGCTGTTCTTCCCTAAGGGAGAGGAAGCACAAGTCCTACTCTTTCAGTGTAGGCTGCACATGGTGACTTCCTTCCAAACACTACAGGACAGAAAGGGAGGGAGAGAGTGTAGTGGAGAAACCTGACACGCACCACCTCAGCTAGGCTAACAAAGTCAACATCAACGCCGCGATAAATCATGCTGACATTATGTACCTTGGATATGATGTGATGAAAGTGACACTTTACTTCTGCAATCTTCCTTCCACAAAACCCATAATCAGAGTGTAATCAGGAGGAAAATAGCAGACAAATTCTAACAGAGGGACATTTTACAACGTATCGAACCAGATCAAGACTGTCAAGGTCATCAGCAACAAGGAAAGTCGGAAAAATGTCACTGCTAAGAGGAATCTAAAGACACAAGACAACCAAATGTAATGTGGAACTGTGGATGGGATTCTAGAACATAAAAAAGACATTAGGGAAAAATTAAGGAAAACTGAATAAAGCATGGACTATCGATATTGGTTCACTAGTTGTGGCAAATGTTTATCACCAATGTAAGAGATTAGTAATGGGAAATTGTGTGTAGGGTTATATGTGAACTCTCTGTACTTTCTTCATAATTTTTCTATAAATCTAAAATTTCTAAAAGGTAAAGTTGATTATTTTAAAAAGTAAATTTGAGATGAAAAGAAACATATGATGTAGAATTAGTTACAAAAAAAAAAAAAAGAATGGAATACTTCTTTATCAGGACAGTTCATGTTATGTTTGGCTTTCTGAGACTGGATTCCTAGATAGCAAAGGCATACAGAGAGACTGGGAAAAAAATTTAAAGTGTCTCACTTGTAAACAGAAGTCATCAATTTCACATTGTAATTAAGCACTTCATATATTTCACTGAGTGAAAGGTAAATGTGTACCTTTATACGTTTTGGAAAACATGGCTGCAGTGTCCACAAGAGAGCTTTTTAACTTTGAAAAATTAATTTTGTCTTTGATTCAGTGAATAGAAAAAGGCATTATTGCTCTGCAGAACACATAACTTATCCTCCAAAATTTACAGGTAATTCCATAAATTATTAAAGTATGCTAAATATAGGCTTAAGATTAAGGCAGTTAGTGGGTCCACAGTTTCAGTAGTTTCAGGCTAGTTTTGATGTTTTGATATCCTGATCAGTTCATGCTCAACCAGATAAGAATAGTAGCTACTGGTTATGTGCAAGGGTTATATATGCATACTTAGTTTAAATAAATGAATGGCATTAAGCACCAAATACTGGGAAATCATATGTTCAACATATACTTTCAACATACATACACACTAGTACCTGATTGAAGAGCACAGTAGAAGAATTAGCTCTACATTTAAAAAATCAATTGATAATATATACTCACGAGATGAACAAGTAGGGAAAATGTATGTTCCAAATGAAAAATAATTCTTAGAGAGAACTAAGAACTATCATTCCTACATATAATTGTTTACTATAGAGATTACACGGAATCCTAAAATGTCTCCACAGAAGCTTAGACGGAAGTGAGTGACTGCTAACTGTTGATTTAAGCTGGCTTTCCACTTGTGTCTTCCTCTGAAATGTTTAAGTCTTGCTGGAAGGCAGATGTTATGTGACATAAGGACACTACTTCATGAAGCAGTCCACTATCTTCTGAAGTCTCTTTGGCGTCTTTCCCTTCTTTCTCCCAAGGAACGAAAGTAGATGAATGTCGCCCAAGCCCGGGTATAAGCAGATCATCTGAAATCTGGCTTAGTGTTTCCTTCTTTTCTGTTTTACATTTTTCATTTTGGGAAACTTCAGGTGAAGCTAGCTGGAAATCTAGTTCGGAAGCAGAAGCTGGCTTTTCCATGACCACGGGCCCCCTCACATTGTCAACACTGATGTATTTTTCGTTGTTTTCCTCTTTCAGGATAAACAGAGAATCGGTCAGACCGCTAGAGGAAACTCGCTTCCGGGGAGATGGAGGAAGGTGTTTGCCATGAAGGGCGCTATCATCTTGCCCAAGATGCCACTCTACTTGGTCACCAGAACCACTGCAAAGTAGGGCCAGATTATTCTCACTAGGTGCATTGGATTTATTCTGAAAGCAGAAACCACAAATTCAGAGAAATTTTAATGCGGCTACAGTATTACTTGAGCACTTTTTTCCAGTTTGAAATAAATAATAATATCTTTCAAGGCTGGGAACTTGAAGTTCTTCCCAGAAGAAACACAGCATCAACAGTTAATTCTGAACACCAGCAAACGCCTCTATTAACAAGAAAATATATAAATATATACAATTTTTATTTGTCAATTACTCTTCAATAAAGATAAAAAATTAAATAAAAAGAACCTGCCAACTCTCCCCTGCCCCCCCCAAAAACCCCCAAATAGACCAACTATCTCATCTAATCGATGCCAAGTTCTGGAATTACTTACAGTCACAACAGGGTTGTCATTACTCATACTTCCATCTCTTGTGTTTGTAAAGCATTCAGTTCAATTTGTTTAAAACACTGCTCATTTTTGAAGCAATATAATAAAAAAATTACTTGAGTTGATACATTAATTAAACATGTTTTGAAGATCCAGGAAATATAGAAAAAAGTGGAAACATTTCAGGTTTTAAAAAGTTCCCAAAGAAGACAACTATAAAATTAGATTTAAGAGACTATTATGGCTTGATAAAATAATTTTTTTTCTTTTTCTTTTTAAATTTTTTCTTAATGTTTATTTTTTAGAGAGAGACAGATAGAGCGTGAGCAGAGGAGGGGTAGAGAGAGAGAGAGGGAGACACAGAATCTGAAGCAGGCTCCAGGCTCTGAGCTATCAGCACAGAGCCTGATGTGGGGCTCAAACTCACGAACCTTGAGATCATGACCTGAGTCAAAGTTTGCCGCTTAACCTACTGAGCCACCCAGGCACCACAAAAGAAATTTTTTTTCAATTAATGACAATAAACACTAGAATTGGACACATAAATGGGAATATACTGGAATATTTTATGGTTAAATTTTATATTTTTGAAGATTTGACAATTTACCTGTTAGAGATAAAATGCCTCGACTAAGACTATATATAACATGAGGCAACTCCCAGCAAAGGGTAAGGGTATTTTAATTTAATTTTACAGGCTGTAAAATCAACTAACCGTAGGCTTGTAATCAATGTCATCCATTGATCTGAAGAAATCCAAGCTCTTCGCTGCTGCCAGCTTTCCTTGGTCAGAGCTGTGTGTACTCAGTGTATCTAAGATCTCTCCTAGTAGGTCCATTTCACCTGAGTAAGGAGTCTTTACTTTTGCTTCAAAGGAGTCATCACTTTCATAGAAATAAGCAGAAGCCTCTTCTCCATCTTCAGAGGATAACCTGGAGAAAGATGAAGCACATCCTAGTAGTTACACAGCCACATACACAGCATGAGAACCTCCCCCCGGTTACATTCAAGTAGTGAGAGAGTCTTAAAACCACAGGGCTTTTCAGTGGAACAACAGGAAAGTGGCTAATTGGTTCATGGTCATATTCTTCAGAGTGATGTGTACATACCAATTCAAATATGGGGAATGTTGAGTGCGTGTACTAAGAAAAAACAGACAAACAACTATGGGACCTTAATCTGGAGGCAGAAGCAGGGCTTTCCACACAGTTTAATTCTGTGGGATTTGGGATATTAGCCCTAGAAATAGTAGATGGAACACTTGGAGGGTTCACGATCGCCAAGTTAACTCTCAATATTGGTATGTGGTTTTCCCTTTATTTATTCATTCGTTTGTTTTAGAGAAGAATGAATATTCCTTTATATAGACAAAGATATACTTAACAGGGAAAAAAGAGTATCTATTTTGTCCTCCCCATATAAGTTAAAAATGTTAAAAAAAATTAAACATCTATTATTATTTCCCTTATTTTATAGTAAAATTAATTTTTAACATTTTGTATTAGAATTTCATCTTCTTATATCACCATGGACTTAAACCCCTCCCGTCCCCCCAAGTGAATTTGTTTGAATTCAACAATTCAAACAATTGTTCTTAGCATTATTCCTGCTATTTAACCTACCCCTCTTCACTAGGTAGGCAGGAGCCTAGTTTAAGTGGGCTTCTATTTCCCCTTATACACTATTGCAGATATTTCTGTGGGCATCATTGTTTTCCAAGAACAAGAGAGTTCAAGTCTATCTTTCTTCCCATCTCAAGATTCATTCCCCATGAGACTCCACTGAGCACAGGCTCTTTTTGCGGAAGAACCCCACAAGGCAGCAAAATTTGACTGCTAGGAGTGTACATTCTTTGAATTATCTTTTGAAATCCTAGAACTCTTGCCTTTTGGCCACAACACTTAGTAGGACACTAAAATCCATCACGACTTACTTGCTTGCTCTCTCGTCATGGTCGTCATCATACAGAGCACCATCAAAGCTCTTAAGAGGTCTTTTTGAGCGTGCCTAGAGAGGGGAGTTGACAATAAAGTGGCATTAGTAGTTAAAATAAGTCTTTTTCATAAATTTTAAAGGAAGAATTTTATTTGACAAGGAACACTTTTAAAAGAAATATGCATTAAAGGTTTTTGAATATTACCCAATAACTTGACAAGCTGTTCAGTTAGAGGGGGAGGGAATCAGGAAATATTTATGTCAACATTTACAGCTCGAACTAATAAACAAAAACAAATTCCTGGACTGAAAGTACACACACACACACACACACACACACACACACACACACACACTGAGACAGTCTGTCAGTCCCTGTTTTAAAACTACTTGACTTACAATCAATCATATCCCCATGTACTCATCACCCAGTTTCAATAATCATCAATAGTTGCCAATCTTCTTTCTTTTATCCCATCTCTCCAATTATTTTAAAGCTGTGCTCCTCCAACTGAATATGCATATAAATCTCTTGGAGATCATGGTGAAAACGTAGATTCTGACTCTGCAGTGGTTCTAAGGATGAGGCCGGAGTTTCTGCATTTCTAATAGGCTCTCAGGTGAAGTTAGTGCTGCTGAGTCTGGACGTCATTTGCTAAACAGCAAGGCTTTGAACCATATGCTGGACAACCCATCATCTCACCTGGAAAAACTGCATCGTGTATTTTTAACAGGTAAGTGTTCCTTAACACAACCAAAATATTGTGACCATACAAATTAGCAATTATTCTTTAACATCCTCTATTCTCAGGCCATTTTCATATTCCCTTATTACCCCCAAAATATTTTAGTTTGTTCACCTGGATCTCAACAAGGTTAACACTGTATTTGGTTGATGTGTCTGCCAAGTCTCCATCAGAGACTATCAGTTCCACTTTCTCCTTCCCTTTATGGCATTTGTGTCCTCAGACATGTGATTTGATCCTCTTCTTATAAACTGGCAGTTATATCTGGAAGCTTGGACAGATTCAGTTGCTGGTTTTTTTGTTTTTCTCTGTTTTTGGCAAGAACATGCTACAGGTGTTGATACGTGTTTTTTACTGCATCATTTTTACTGTTAAGATGTCTCACTTTTGGTGTTACTAAGATTGACTCATGGCTTCAGGATTCAGGTTGACTGATACCATCCATTATGAATTTTTGTTCACCTGACAGTTTTAGCATCTTATGATAATCCTTGGGTAAATTAACTATGCATTAGGGGCTTCAAAATTATGCTTTTCAAAAGCATTTCTACTATCTTTCCTTGTTGGCATTCTACTAAGGATTTTGTCCTATTAACTATTTGGCTATTTTGAAATTCAATGTGTACCAGAGAGGTATGACAAATCCTTGATTCTTTCCATTTAACAATTTCCAGAGTAATGAGCTGATACCTAACAATCTCTAAAGGTGAGCTGTGTGGGCTTTCAAAAAGTCATCATCATTTGTATATATCTCATATGGCTCAGTCTGTCATGGTAGATTCTTCTTGATGTGTGATCTGTCTCATTACTGAATTATACCATGAATGCATTTTAAAAATGGTTCTTAACTTTTAGAGATATAGCTGGAATACTTGCAGGTTAAATGATGTGTGATGTGCTACTGGGTATTTACTTCAAAATAACCCAGCGGTGGAGCGGGGTCATGGGTGGAGCTGGCAAGGAAGAAAGATTAGCCATCGCTGGTAATTGTTGGCCTGTATGAAAGGTATCCAGGAATTCTTATAAACTTTTCTTGAATTATGTTAAGTGTTCTTTCCACAATAAAATAATTTAATTTTTTTTTAAATGGTCCCATCTTTGATCCAGCATTAGTCCATTCAGGTTGGCTCTTGTGTCCTTTAAACATGACCACAGAAGTTCTTTAGTAAGCTTCTTGTTTTGGGCCCAACATAATATCTCATTTCAACTTATACATTTTCTGCATCAGACCTGGAATCAGTCATTTCCTGTAAGAGCTTTAGTTTCTATAAGTAGAAAATGGCATGCATTCATTTAGGCATTTAATTTTTTTAAAGAAGGTTTTTTAATGTTTATTTTTGAGAGAGAGAGAGAGAGAGAGAGAGAGAGAGAAAATAAGCAGGGGAGGGGCAGAGAGGGAGACACACAATCTGAAGCAGGCTCCAGGCTCTGAGCTGTCAGTGTAGAGCCCAATGTGGGGCTCTAACCCACAGACTGCAAGATGATGACCTGAGCCAAAGTCTGAAGCTAAACCGACGGAACCACCCAAGCACCCCAGGAAATGGCCAGAGTCTGGGTGCTATAGATGTCCATGGCTGCAAAGTATCCTTTTGATTGGATGGCAGCAAAGCTGAAATTTGGAGAGGTCAACCATGATATCACCTGAGGACTTTCTGTCTTCTCATTCTGATCTCCTAATCTAGGTAATTGTTTTCTTCTCCTTCTCCTTTTTAATTTTGACAGGGACAGAGAGAGACTGAGAGAGACAGAGACAGCACAAGTGGGGGAGAGAGGCAGAGGGAGAGGGAGAGAAAATCTCAAGTGGCTCCATGCTCAGGGTAGAGTTGGATGAGGGGCTCGATCCCATAACCCTGGGATCGCAAACTGAGCCAAAATCAAGAGTCAGAAGCTCAACCTACTGGGCCACCCAGGTGCCCATGATAGCTGTTTCTTCTGTTGCAGCCCTAGAGAGTAAGCAAATGTCTGGAATCCATGATACTTGATTCCTACTCCTTTACTTCCTCCATGCCAGGGCTGAGAGTAGTAGAAAGGAAAGAATGCATAGAGAAATATATTCTTGTAGTGCCTGCTCAGAATGTGTAGTGAGTTCCTCTGTAATTTGGTGGCTACCTACGTATTTGGGGCCTATAACTGTAATATTATTTTACGACTACAAGTTTGAGGTATGTGAGGAAAAGAGATTTGAGGAATGGCCTAGGAACACAATTACCGCTTACAATATTATTTCTGTAGGAAAAATACGTTTCATCCACCACTCCAAAACTCACAAAATGTAATTCTTTGTTTCTAAAAACTAGTCATCATTATAATACTGACCTCTGTATATGCTTAACATTATGCCAGCTAGGGGCCTTGCATTCAATTTTTGCTGAAAAACAGAACAAATCAGAACTAAAACCAAACAAAACTATGAGAGAGCTGAGACTTCATGTCGCTATTTTTAAAAATAAATAAAAAGTTCTGACTATTTAAGAACTAATACAAAATGGGGCACCTGGGTGGCTCAGTTGGTTAAGTGTTCGACCCCTGATTTCGGCTGAGGTCATGATCTCACAGTTCGTGGTTCTGAGCCCCACATCGGGCTCTGCACTATGTGGAGCCTGTTTGGGATTCTCTCTCTCTTTTTCTCTCTCTTGGCCTCTCCTGTACTATCACTCTTTCTCAAAAAATAAACTAAAAAAAATTTTTTAAATAACTAATACAAAATAAGAAAATAAATACATAGCTTAATTCTTATGTTCGTAGAGTACATTGCCCAGCACTGTCATATACACACACAGCAGGGCTAGGTTCTGGGAATACAGAGCTGAATTAGGCTGAGTCTCTGCCATTAAGTAGCTCAGGGTCTAATGAACCCCGGGATAAATCTGGAGGTACACCACAGCAGCTCCATAATTTGCCCAAGCTCATACACCTTATCAGGAACAGGCACCAGAGCCGATGTCTTTCTCTGCTGTGTTGCCAAGACCTTATTCATTTTCTCCCACAGGTTACCTTGAGTTTCATAAATATGCTTGAATTTGGTTTTATATGTCCTCACTAGGTGAGGGTTCTATCAATTCCTACATAGGCATGTTGTTAAATGGTGTACCTTGTGATCAATTTTTACAACAGAGTTAGAATGAAAACTAGAATGGCAGCTGATTAATATAATGTTTTCTTTTCTGTGAGTGTTCAGCTTTGTACTGCGTATACTCTTAGTACACATTCTTACGAACTGTTTGTCTATCTTAAATAAGCTTCTAATTAGCAGTTGCTGACTATGTATCAAGCCGTAGGGACTGCAGCCTCCCCATATGAAGTGACAATGTCCAAACACGTAGTGAATATGTCAACTGCTTGATAACACCAAATTACATAATTTGTTAAGGTTGCACACATCAAAAAGCAAAACAGAGGAAAAAAGTTAACAATTTGATTAACATTCAAGAGAGAGAAAAACGGTAACTTATTTAACAAAAGCATCATCAGTTTCTGAGCTTTTATGAATCCGGTTTATCTCTGTTATTCTTTCTAGAGGACTGGGACCCAGGGATTGTACTTTTAGGGGAAATAAAGGATTTTTTTCCACTATGCCCAGAACATAGCACACTGGGCAAAAAGACCTGGTCACAATTTTGTAAATAGAAAGCTTTTATGGATAACAGGTAGCAAATAAGCTTAGACTGCAGAAGATATATTATGTATTCTTTAGGATGGTAATACATAGCCAATAACAGCACATCGTACCTGGCATCATAAATCACAGATACATCATTATTGAAAACCTGCATATGAAACTAGACAGAAACTGAAATATAAATGACTAAGAGAAAAATAATCTCAATACACTAAATTAAATTGAAATCTATACACTTTTTCTTAACACAACTGACTTTTGGGAAGAGGGATCCATCTTTATTTTTCTAAATATAATGATAATAAGCAGATGCAAACACTAGCAGAATGAATTTTGTTTATTATATGGATTCAGAGGGAAAAAAAATCTATTTCCGATCTGGATAGAAATCTCACAGTAAGAAGTTCACAACAGGAACCTTTGCAAGGGTCCCCAAAGACTTTCATCATGAATTATTATCTACAGATACCTGAAATAAGCACCAAGACAGTCATAATATGGCCTGTAGCTGGGAACAGATTTTTTTTAAAGAATGATTATAAGGTGATTAAGAGATAAAGCTATAAGCAGTTAACATGGTAAAAAAAAAATTGAAGGAAAAAAAACCTTCTCTTCTTCTTTACTGGAAAAAATACGGCTTATTCTTCAGTATGTGATTGAAATGTAACCTCTACAAAGCCTTCTATTCACCTGCCCTCTGTGTAGCT